AAAAGAAATATAGAGAGAGATTGCAAGTGAACTAGTGAAAATATCAACAAGGTGCCCAATATCTTTTTCATTGAAGAGGGAATGACCATTAAACAAATACTATTACTTCTGAAACCAAAGATCACTATTCTAGAAAAGTTAGGTACATGACCTCAAAAGCTCTTTTCTAATCCTTTCTCTCCATATAGTCAAAAAAATAGTAAGGAATAACCGCAACTACGTTCTTTTAGCTCTTGGCAACGCCAGTACCATTGCAAGGAAGCAGCTCTGCTGAGATAGAGCCACTCACCACCTAGTGGATGTTCAATAAACAAGATGCCAAATCCCATAGCCTTCTCCCTTTCACACACCATAGGGGAGATGGTTAGGGGATTCACTATCATGAAAACAAAGAGGCAAACAATTGATGACGATGCAACCTCTTCTCCTTAAGTTGTCCACATTCAAAATGAGTCTTGAGAAGGTCTCCCACACAAAAGGAGTAGGGCACCATCTCAGCCCCTTTAAGCTAAAAAAAGGGGATGCTGATTTGAACTAACTGAAAGGGGAATCTTTTAAATAAGATCCAGTGCCAGCACCTCCAACTCCAAAGATACCACCAACCTGTCAATGCAAGAGAAAGATACATTTTCACCCAACCTATATCATGTTCACTCATCACTGACCCGGAATGGGAAGATCCAATGTATTCAAGCTGTTAACAACTCTCCCTAATTCTCCAGAATATACTGCTGAAGAGCCTCTACTCAATTTCCTTCTTAAACATAACTGTTTATAAATCACCCCCAATGAACCAAGAAAGTTAATCAATGGTTCTTACCTCATCCACATCACTCCAAAGCAGATTCCTTTCAACTCAGTCCCTTTCCATACACACTAGTATCTGATGGCCAATAGTCAGACATAATAGTTTCAATAAGTAACTGGAACTCAAGAATCATTGGGTAGCAAGGATAATATTTCCAGTGAGTGATAATGTTTCTAATGATTACGAAATTAATGACTTTCTGAAAAAGACTGTTTTAGGATGCCCAATTTGCCTTTTCTTGAGTTGTTGGCTTGAAGCCATATTGACGAAGTAAAAGCTAGATGGCAAAGAGAGGCCTTTTTTGGAAGATGAGATAAGAAGTGAAGTTTGAGAACCTGGAGGTGGACAAAGTGCCTAATCCCAACAACTTCACAAAACCATTCTTCCGAAGCTTTAGTAACGTAATTAAGAGGGAGGGAGCTAAAAGGTTTCCCAAGAACTATGTAAATGAGAATATTAGGACTAGCATGAACTCTAAGTTTATCATTAATTCCTAAGAAGGACCTTCCTGTCGCTTTTCTCCTCTAATATCTAGAAGTTAAGTATAAATGCAGATAAAGGACTGTAAAAACAACGAAGTGCCTACTTATCTTTTTGGCCTGAAATCTATTGACAGATCTGTGAACATTTAATAGATGAAACAAGTTGCATAGGACTCAGGTCAAGGCAGAATTAGATTGAAAACAAAAAATTTTCCTTATATTTTTTGTGAAGGAAAAAGACAATGGTAGTTGAACCGTCATATATATGGCTAGAAAAATCGTAACAAAACCATTTCTATAATGAATTATTAATGTTATGATCTCTAATTTAATAATATCAAGGTCTCTATTTCTTAAGAGTGCAAATATATATCTAAGCATACATATATGCATGTCTGCTTCTTGATAGCCATAAGATTTACTTGCAAGAAAATCATTTCAAGCAAAAGTAATATATGACGTATAAAAACCTGGTTCAGTGAATCCCAGGCTTTTAGCCGCCTTGACGACTTGGCTTAATGGCTTTCCATCTTCAAGCTCACTCATTACATACCCCAATGTACCTGTTATGAATATGATCTATTAAACACAGTTTTAAAATGATATTCGCAATAGATGGCAGCAGTGCAGAAGTGTACATGGAGAATCAAGGCCTTAAAAAGAATCAACATTACCACTCATACTGCCAACAATTCGATGGACAGGGTCTCCTGATGAAAGTATGCGATTCAGTGATGATATGACAGGAAGGCCAGCACCAACCTATCAAGAATAAAGATCAAATAAGTAGAAAATACTTAAAAGAGTTTCACTGCAGTTACAGATAAATAATAAGACAATGCACCATCTTGGGCTAGTAATATCCCTTACTAAAAAGAGCCAAATTTCCAGGAGAGCTAGAATTAGATACTGTCACAAACATTAGTAAATCTCTGAAACCTATTTTGCCTCTGGTAACATTAAATTATTAACATTCTTTTATGACAATTGTTTCTCCTCTAAATTTACGTTCCTTATATGTTTGTCTCTTGTAGACTGGAGGTTACTTCAGAAATTCAGGAAAGAGAACTGTTAGCATCACCAAGAAACAACTAAACCTACAGTTGATTCATGCCGAATACGCCGTGCGTGTGAGATCAATTTATCATAATCTTCCTGCAATCAAACAGAAGGAAAAAGAAATATAGTGAAAGGCCTTCATGTGCATGAGGCACGCAAGAAACAAACTTAATGAACATGAGTGGTAAACAAAAGAAGATGGAAGATGGCATACTCGGAGACAGTAAATGAGAAAAATTCTTTACTCAGCCTAACATCCATATACATTCAGTTGATTGAGTTCATTAAATTCAATATGTTCATAGATTAAGTAAATTGGAAAATCTTATCAGCCATAGAAGTTCCATATCTAGGACAATCTTCAGTGATATCTAAAGCAGGTCCAATCAATAAAAACTGAATTTTTTTTGAAATAACAAAGTATAAAAATGTCATTAAGAATCAATAAATATTGATATAGCTGCAAGTAGGATAACCATAAATTTCACAACGAAGGAAATTCAGAAATGCCACAAAAATCAGTGGAATCAGATATTTTTATCACTATTGAAATTCCACAAGGAAAGTTTGCTTATCAGTTCCTTAAATACTTTCCAATCAGAAATGAACTAATTCACATTCGTCACACTACACAACTTATCTTGTGAATAACAAAAAATTGACAATCCCAAGACGCCCAAATATTCCTTCTCAGTTCAATGGCACTCAAATATTCCTTCTCAGTTCAATGTTCTTTTTAAAAAAAAAATAAAATATACAGCGTGATAAGGATGCTCACTAGCATATATTACCATCGAAGAAGTAAGAGGCTTCTTATTTGCAAGAACAATAAAACAACCCAAATCTACCCCCCTAGTTAGAACTTCAATAGTCTCGGAACTAGCTGAGCAATCTACTAAGGCCAAACCTGTTTCAAAAAGAAAAAACAAAAATAAACAATTTTCATTTAAGATAGAGATGATCAGTCAAATGCTTGACCATATCATATATGAAGCTTGAGTTAAAGTCACCCCAGGCAAATGCACAAACATACACCAAGAGAGCAACAGCTTTTCATTTATCTACCAACCAAAACTTTCATCACTTCAAAAATGGATTATGTAAATGCATAAATTTAATAAGAGTCTGTTTGGCCAAACATATACCAAGAGAGCAAAAGCTTCTCATTTATCCAGTCCCAGTAAATGCATGGAAGCATTTCGTTGGAAAAGACAAAGAAACTTTTTTGGCTTATATAAGTTATCTACTTTGTTGGAAGTAGATAACTTATAAGCCAAATAAAAATGATATTATCAAACACATCTAAATCTATTTTTCTGGCCTATGTGTTTAGAAGGTAAAATACAATAAGCAAAGCCAGACGGCCCCAAAGCAGTACAGAATACAAACCTGTTGATTTGCCCAGGACTTCGGCAATATCAATTATTTTGGTTCTTGATTTTGCGGCAATGAATACTTGGCATTCACCTTCATAAAAGGAAGAAAGAAGCATAAGTTAAAAAGAAGAATGCGATCAGTCCCAGCAACATAAGATGGAAATAGGAGAATCACCTGAACCAGAAAGAGTTGACAGACAAGCACCACTCGCCTTGATGCGGCAAACCTCCAATAAGAAATTATCATGTAACTCCATCTTAAGCACATTTGAAGGAACAACCAACGATTTACTGTCACACACTCCAACAACTCGCAGATGAACTCCCTACCACGCAGAAATGAAGTTATCAATGAAAAGACAGAGACACGCTCAAAATCAACTTGATTCACTTAATTTCCAACAAAGCCAACCCCTCGAAATCCATAAACATTGACTCATCCTACGAGCATTTACAATAAATTAAAACGGCTATATCTCCATTGGAGCTATGTAGAGACACTCGCCTAAATAACCAGAAAAATGAAATGCTCAAAGAGGAAGGTACCAATTTGGCGTGAAGAGATCGGCAAGAGACGATGTGATGGAGGAGCTGGCGGCCAACGCCTCCACAGCCCATCAGAATCAGAGAGATCCTCTTCATCGTTGATTCTGATTCTCTTGTTCTGGCTGTGGTTTCTCTTCTCTTCACTCTCTTTCTGAACTCTGTGACGTTTAAGAAGGGTTTGAAGGAAGAAGAAAAGCAAATAGTTTAAATATGATTATTACATTTTTTAATCTTTTGTCTTAATTTTTTATTTTTTTAAATAAATTATTTCTCTAACTTATATATTAAAATAAAATTATATTTAAAAATATTATTAATATATAAAAATTATGTTATCATAAGATAGTTTCCATATGGTTTAATTTTATAAAAAATCTTAGTAAAAATTAAATAAAATATATTTGAATAATATAAATTGAGAGATAAATAATACGTAAGTAAAAAAATATATCGCTAACGAGTCAAATTTCGACGATAATTATTTTATACAATAAATATTAGTTGATTTAATATAATTTTTTATTGGTATATATATAAATGATTACATGAATTTTACCTTTCATTTTTTACGTTCTATTTGAATAACTATAAAGATAATATATGTCGACATATATGTAATTGTATAAAGTAACTTTTTCATCTAATTTTATTGTGATGAGCCCGAGATTACGATCTCTGTTTTTGAAAAAAATAAGAAAGCAATGAACGTGAGATATATTAGTTATCCCTATCAAAATTACGTAGCATTAGTTGAATTTCGTTGTAAATTTATTTAGTAAAAGTCTTATTAGTAGTCGAGATATTTTATCACGTGGTTTATGATGACACGTGGATTATGGCAAGTAAATAAGTATAGGGTAGAACAAATTATTCTATTTGCAAAATAATTATTGAAGCCGCATATTTCTACCATGCTATCTCCGACGTTCAAAATTTGTGAATTATTCTTAACGACCAAC